GAACCATTGTGTGTTTCTCATCATGCAAATGCTAGGATAGAAGGAGAGACAGTTCTTCCATAGGAATGGAGGCAGGGTTGGTGATTTTTGGACCACTAACCCTTCTACTGAAGATGGAGACTTCTTCACTGAAATGTACCATATACCAGAAAGTTAAAAAAACAAAAAACAAAAAACCTCTATCTAATGTCTAATACCCAACTTTGAGCACCGGGGTTAATTATGGTCCATACATTTCAGTGCCGAAGTCTCCATCTTCAGTAGATTGATTCACTCTGATAAAAATGATAATCGTTTAGTTCTGGGTATCTATGTAGGAAAGGATTCCAAAGAATCAAGAATTTGAAACAGAAAAAAAAAAACCCAGCTGCATTTTAGTTCTATTAAAGGAAATTATAAATTACAAATTTCTAAAGATTCTGAAATTCACAAAATAAGAACTATGTGGTGTGGCATAATAATTCTGCCTATGATAGAGTTGAAATTTCTGGTAGAGTTTCTTTCAGTAAGTATTTTGTTCACCTTTAATAGTGATTTCTCCAGATGCACAGAAGGGAACAATATAAAAATATATCTTGCTGCTTCAGCAAAACAAAATCCAGCTGGCAGGGAAGTGAATCTGCAAGTCATTGGTTACAGCTGTGTTTCGATTTATCTGATAGTTGAAAAAATAAATTACCAGATTAAATGGTTAAAAGAAGAGTCTTTGTGTAGCCCTTGTGTATGGATTGAAAGTGTTTATGGTTTATACATAGCCTTGCAATGTAAGCTAGACAACGGTCTTATTCAAAAGTTTTCCAAAATATTATGAATTCAATTTCATTTCTTCAGTGGTAACTGTATGTGTTTGAATACTCGTCTTACCTTGCAATATTTAAGAATGTATTATTGTGGTGTGTAGTTTATCAATGGGAGGCTGCTCAGTTTAACCCTTAAGTATGGAAAACATATAGTTTGATACATCTGAAACTACATACAGAATTTATATGAAAATGGCAACCTTTATTCTGCAGAATTGTGTTGCATGAACTTCATATGCATGTGCTTTCCAGCTTCTAGGAAACTGAAGTTGCAGTTATAGAATCAAGGACAAGACTACATTCAGCAATGGAAATGAATCTCTGTAATTTCTGGTGGCAGATAATATGTTTTAAAATTGGTAGAAATACACTTTAGAAGAAAAAAATTCATTTTTTTTTACTATGAATAAGCAATGCTATAAAAATTCAGTAGGACATAGAAACTTCTAGTAACTCCATTATCTTACCAATTAAGACGTTGGGTTACCGAATGCTCAAATTATATGTTGTAACTGTTGTTCTATCCAATCAAATCACTGATTGAAATATATATTTACTCACAGTTTTTACAATGACTGTCCTTTAATTTGTTTCCTACAAAATGTTCATGATAGAAACTTAAATACCAGGTCAAAAATCAATGCAAAAATTAAATCTAGGGTGCTGGCCAAGTTTCACTGTAATACAACTTCAGATAGTCCAGAAAAAATGCTTATAATATTGTTAGTGGAATATTTTCCCTTTTATTTTTCTCAGTAGCATTACTGCATTAAAAACTGTTTGACAGAAAACCACTAAGATGTAGAATAAATAACCATTATATATAGAAAGCAGACAAAGGTGTGATTGATCTGTCTGGAATTGGCAGACTCTTTCGCTGTGTCAGGCTTTTTCTTTGATCAATGAAGCCTCTGACCCTAAAAATCAATGGAATTGATGGAAAGACAAACCATGAGAATGCAGAATAGGCTTTAACCTTTACCAAATGTAAAGGTTTGAAATATTAATTGTATGCATGTACTTAGTACATAAAGGTTTTATATAAGATTGTTTAAATATCACAATGGTCTTTAAAAAGACCCTTACAAAGCTGTACATTATTATTACAAATAATGACATTTGGTGCTTCGGATTCAGCTTGTGAAGTTTCCCCCTCACCCCCCCCCCACACACACCCCATAATATAAAACTTTGGAGAAGACAGTGAAGATGCTTACTTACCTAGAGTTATATTCATAACATTTTTAATGTACATCAGCCTTATAAATATTCCAAATATATTACACTTGATATGGAGCTTAGAGGCAAGTTTGTTCTAGTATAGAAAAAATAAGGTTGGAATGCAGAGATTTATTATACTACTGTTGAGGAAATTTTTAAGTACATAGATATAGGAACATATAATTTTTCTAAGTATGACCATGAAGAATAGGATGAAAAGAAATAATTTAATTTCAATATAAATAAATTTTAATCTTGTTCATCTTTTTAAAAAGTTGATTAATAATTTTATTTATTTTTCTGTTTCTTTAAATTGTATGAAGCAGTGTCACTGTTTAAAACTGGCTACAAATCAGATACTCATTTTAAGAAATTATTGAATCTTAATCATTTTACTGGAATAGAACGATTTAAACTCAAATATTGACTTTTTTTCCTGAAAAATGGAAATGATTTTTTGCACATTAGAAAAACTTAATTTGCATTTCCAGTTACAAACAAAAATGAACACAATATACTGAAATAATACTGAATACTATATGATGTTTTGCTAACATATTATAATTATTTTTTTAATTTGGGTGAAGGAAGACAAAATCTGCATCTTGTTTCAGGATATGTTTAATGATATGAATGGTAATTAGTATTTATTGGGTAACATTTTGTACAAAGTTTAATGTCTGTAATTTCATGATTCAATTTATAGTATAGTGTAATTCAAAATTCGAACAATAGCTGTGAACCTATGAAAAACAGAAAAGAAAAAAAATCACGTGTAAAACTGGACAAACAAACAAAAAATTCCTAAAACATATGTACGGGTGTGTATCAAATTATATCTTTATTTGTTAAAATATATAGATTTTAGGAACACAATCCCCTTGTGGATGATTATAATATTTTTAAGGGTTAGTTATGTCATGTTGTTCGACAATGGTACACTCATTCTCAATCTATCTGCAATTCACATTTATCTTGTTGAAATAATGCTTTTATTACCTTCCCCATATTTTTTAATTCTTCAAAACAAAAATGGTTGCTTGTACTTTCTGGTTGTTAACCTTTTTTTTTTCAGTTGTTGTATTAAAAAAGATGGCTCTTTTGCACCATCTTGAATGAAGAAATAAATGGATTGCAAATACATATTTTCAAACCTGTCGGAGCTAATTTCTACATATGTATGCACTTATATAACCCTACTATTTAATAATTAACACAGTTTAATATATAACTTACATATAACGCTATAATATGTTATTTTCCAAACTATGACATGATTGAAAATGTATTTATTTATACTTTAATCCTAATCCTAACCCTAACTCTAAATTTAAATTATTCCAAAAATAAGTATCATAATATGAGATTTATATCTAATTTTAAGCACATTGATATCTATACAATGTACAGTTCAATAATACATATGAGCTTTCAAAAATACCGTGTCTTGTCCAATAAAAATATATTTAGTATTCTGACATTTCATTGCTTTAATGTAGCAATAATAATCCTACTTTCATACATATTTCTATATAGACGTGCCCATATAATTTACAGTAGATGAAATAAAACCCAAATGACCATTCATTTCTTGTTTTTCTATGAAATGGGATTAAAATTATTGGAAAACTAAACCATATGATGGCATAAATTGCAGAAAAATCACAGTAATCAGTGCAAAGGTTTTGAAGTTTCTATAATATAGTGGATATCACTCCATTATTTTGTGAGATACCATTAAAAACATCTGTAACAACATTAATCATGATAATGCAATATTTCCCTGCCAAATTCAATATAGTGTGGTTGAAGGTTTTTTGTTAAATTATGGTTGTATGGAATTATATTTTCCCTTCAATCCAATGGAGCAAATTGTCAGAATTGAGGTCAAAGTATTATCAGTGTTCCATTTCACAAAATAAATTGGTTTTGAGTTATTATCAGCAATCAAATGCAACATACAAACAATCACACAGCTTCTCAGAACAAGAGATAAAGATATAGAGTGCATGGTAAAGATTGCTTGCAGCATCTTGTTGAAACCTTTCCAACCAAGTCCTCTTGGCAAAATAGTGTGATTGGAACAACCCATGGTGTTGTGACCAGAAAAAACTACTCTGATTTGCGGCAGACTAAGTATCACTGAATGACTCATCTGTCTTTCTGTCTCTCTCTCACACACACACATTCTTCCTGTCTCTCTAGATTTTTACACAAAAATTAAGTTTAACATTCACCTTTCCTACTCTATTATTACAATATGAGTTAAATCACACTTAGATATTGCCCCTCCACCCAAATATGTTTCTGACACAATTATTTCCGTGAAATATATGTATGTGTTTGTGTATGTGTGCATAATTCAACAGCTACATTTCAGGAAAAAAACAAGGCTAGGAAAAACAATTGAATTAACATTAATTGAATAAATAGCTGCTTCTAAATTAATTGCCTATAAACTAAAGCACCCATTAGTAAAATGAATTGATTCCTCATTTGTATAATAAATGCTCAAAATACAGTTTTTCTCATACCCATATTCTCTTTCCAGGAAAAATAGCAAAGAAACATGGAAGATTGAGATAAATAACAGAATTAAATAGCTGCACAGGAAAAGAAAGAAAGAAAGAAAGAAAGAAAGAAAGAAAGAAAGAAAGAAAGAAAGAAAGAAAGAAAGAAAGAAAGAAAGAAAGAAAGAAAGAAAAAGGAAGGAAGGAAGGAAGGAAGGAAGGAAGGAAGGAAGGAAGGAAGGAAGGAAGGAAGGAATAATGAAGGGGAATGATGCGGCAGATAGGAGAGTGGACAGAAAAGGGAAAAATGGCTACGAAACCTAAATTTATAGTTAAACAAAGAACAGTGAGCATAAACCTAGAGCTCACTTTATAATAAATCCCACATAATTTGATGGTTTTTACTCATATTTTTTTTACCTTGTTCAGACATTAAGAATCCTTTAATAATCTATTTCCATTCAAAAAGGAGCTGAATGGGAGTAACCTACCCTTCCTTGTCCTCTACTTACGGAAGTTGAAAGTCTGCAAAGAGACAGAAAATGAAGAGAAGTTGTTGCCAAATCTTCTGCCTCACTGAGAAATATAATCAAAGAATACGTGGATTCTGAAGAAAAACCTTTATATTTACCTCAGTAAAGTTTTATTCAGCAGATATAAGAAACTCCAAACATCACTTTAAAACAATTCTCTTTCAGGAATATGCAACAAATATTCCAACTTTATAGGCAAGTGTGTGTGTGTGTGTGTGTGTGTGTGTGTGTGTGTGTGTATTCTTTTTATATTATGTTAATGATCTATCTATATGATTGTTTAAAGTACAGTGTCTTTCTAGCATCAAACCAAATTAATGATTGAAACTAGTATTCAATATGCATAGTCACATTTGTTTCCTTTTGTATAATTATTTTTAAATGCTTACATTTTGTCTGGATTATTTCTATTGTCATCACTACACTCTTCGTTCTTTGGCAGTAGTTCACTGCTAACAAAAAGTGTTGACACTGCTTGGTTCTGGAACATTTAGGATTCAGAAATCATAAACTATATATTGTGTTGCTTAAGAATATTGTATATTTTTTAAAAGAAGTTGAAGTGCTTCATGTGAAGTGATATTATTTTTTGACAAATAAATGAAAATATTTTCCACAAAACTGAATTCAAATTAGAAAAGATAATATGCGAAATATCCTATTCTACAGATTTATTTCTTCTATCCATTGTGCAAGGAAACATGGGGTTTGTTTATTTCTGTAACCGATATGCTAGATAAAATGGAATTGCTTTTACTTATTATGCTACTGCATACATATTATTATTACATATGTTGCTGTGTGTACAAAAAAAAAAACAAAAACAAAAAACAAGTGGCAGAGGATGAATTATTTTGTATACTGTTAGAACAAAGCCATAGCTGATTCCAAGGCTTTATCCAAGAGAAGATCCTTTGTTTTTGTATTCTTCTAAAAAAATGCTACAGTTCATGTTAATTAAACATTATTATTTCAGCTACCTTTCCTATTCCAGCCATAACAATACACACCCATTTGCACACCCTTTCCCATATATCTATATACATCCATTCATTTGTCTTCCTATCTCCCTACCCACCTATGGAAAACACATTTAAAGAATGTACAATTATGCATAAGAAGAAAGCATATAATTCATTTTTCATTGTTTAAAGAGAACAATATTGAAAAGCTCCTGTCCACTATTTAATCACTTCCTAAAGTAATGTGACCGAGCATTTAGAATGTCTAAAAGTTAAAGTTGGGAAAAAAAGGACTTTGGAAGAACATTAAATCTGGTTGTATGACAATGGCCCTTGAGCTGATTATGACATCTAAATTACTGATTTTTATCTACTTGGAATTTTCCATTGCCCCAAAATGTAGCTTTGGTACATGGAAGTACTACATAAAAGATTATAAAAGAACGTTCAAACAAATATATTTATGTTTCATCTTTTTCTAAATTATGTTCTTGTTAAAGTGTTCCTATTCAATAAGATTACAAGGAATCAAAATTTACGAATGAAAGATAATATATATTGAAAACAAGTAAGTCAGAAAGAAAAGGAGAGGAACAATATTTAGTCTGTGTGTGCATCTGTTGTTTCTGAATTGCAAAGCTGCATTGACTGTTTTGGAAGAAAAAGTTTTTTAAAAAACCCTAAGGTATCTGATAGATTATTTGCAAAAGACACATGCTCAGCTGGCAATTTCCAAGACTGCTACATAGTTGTATTATTCAGGGTAATGCAGATACAGGAAAAAAGAAAAGAAAAGCAACTAAGATAAAAATGGTAACAGAAAATAAGTGAGGCAGAGCCAAAGAGATTTAAAGCTATATTCCATGTTTGCTTATTTGACGAATGCACATATTTTCAAGACCCTTATTCCCTAGTTTTCAGCTCATTTGTTTTTCAGTACTTGCATAGGATTTCAAGGCAAAAAGTAGCACTGTAATATATAGACAAAGTTGTTAGCAATAAGCAATTTAAGTCATGCTGTAGACATATTTTGAATGGATTTTTTTTCAAGTAAAGAAGTATATAACACTGAATGCTACAATGCTCCCATAATTTGTATTAATTAGAATCAAGTCTGACTTCAATTTAACCTTTCTGCATTGATTTATTTCATTCCTTTCATATTTTTTTCTTTTCCTTTTGCAATGTTCCTTCTTGCTTTATGAGGTTGTTTTTTTTTTTAAATTACTCTTGTTCCAGTTCAGGAATGTGCATGTAATTCTTTTTTTCTGTTGTAGATGCACCATCATTCTGTTATAACTGTTTGCAATATTTTCATTTTCACTTTGTGGCAAGAGATATACTTTACGTTGCTTCCCACCCACTCTCTTTGCCAGTTATTTTTCTTTATTGCTGCAGCATTGTCGCACTGAACGATGAGATCTGTTTGTGTACCAAAAGGTTAGAGTGAACTGATAGTTTAGTCATGGTAAAGTAACAGTATTACACTCTATCCCATGGATTACAAAGCCTCAAATCCCTGTGCAAGGTGCTCCTTCTGCATTGAAATCAATGTGTCACGCGGTAACAATTAAAGAGGCTAATTATTCAGCCTCCATCAGTTTATTCTTTAAAGAGAAACAAATATCTATTTTTAGAACTGTTTTAGCACGTATTATTATCACATTTCAATTAGCAAAGCTTTTGCTGAGTTTAACTGAGATGATGCATATTTTATTTATACCAAATGACTCAGTATTTTCATAAATGGAATCATGCTGAAGACATCTACACAATTCGAAAACACTACACACCAATATACTGTTATGGTATAATATATTTTCTCCTAGTTGTTCTGTGTAACACACCCACACCCACACCCACCTCTCACATAAAAACTGCACCCACAGGAACAGAGAGCAACGGACTTCTTCAGGCTCAAAGGAATTACACACTTCGTTTTAGTAAGGTTCGAACTGCTGTTAAATATTTCAAACTTATCAAAAGAAAAAAGAAAAAAACACAACCCCCAAGATCCTCTTTAGTGCTTTTTTAAAAAGTCCCGATTCTATTTCTTATTAACTTGGTTTAAAATACCAGAATAAAAATGTTGCAAGCTAATCGCTTGGGAGAAGCCTCGTGTAACTGAGGAATCCTTTCCATTGATGGATGCTGCGGCAGAGGGAAGAGAGGAAAAGCTGAAGAAGGCGCAGGATAACTTCTAAGTCTGTTTTAAGCCTTGCTGGCATTATTTCTCCCCACATCACGTGTGTATGTGTGTGTGTGTGAGAGAGAGAGAGAGAGAGAGAGAGAGAGCCAGAGAGCCGAGTTTGCCCGCTGCTCCCGAGGCAGAAAATCGAGGAGGACCATCAATGCAAGAGCCTATTTTCAAACTGCATTTGGAAAGCTGTCTTATTATTGATTAGGGGGAGAAAAAGGGGGTGGGAATAGAACTGCGAAGAGATGGGAGGACCGTCAGGCAACTGGCTCATTGCAGCTCAAGACGTTTTCTTCCGGAAAGATGTCCAACGACTGAGATACTGCGACAGAGGAAGTAAAAAGATGGAAAACTAAGAAGAGGGAAGGAGCCTTCGGAAGGAATGAAGGCTTGGGGTATCCTTGAGCTACTTCTCCTCCCCCCTCTTTTTTTTTTTTTTAATTCTTCCTCCTCTTCTTGCAAGGACCAGAGGATTGGCGTCAGACAAATCCTGCGGTCCAGCAGGTCTGCCGGAGGGTGGATGCTTGGAGACCACGCGCCGGAATGTCACTATTCACCAGGAGCGCAGTGCAAATGCCAGCTGAATGCCGTTTCCCCCTCCACCCCTCCGCCCGCCCCGCGTGCAACCTCTCTGAGTCAGTAGCCCTTCTTTGGCTTTGCCTTGCCTTGCCTGCCTTTGTGCGTGCGCGCGCGTGTACTCTTTTGGGAAGGGCGGGGGATTGTACTGGAGAGCGCGCGCGTTCACGTCTCGGTGTCAGGAAAGCCTGTCTGGTCTGAATGTGCGCGTGCATATTCATGGGAGGTAAAACCCAGTCAGTCAGGGAGAAGCGAAGGTACGTTGGAGAAGAGCTAAAATCTGGACTGATTTCCATCTATTGAGCATCAGATGTATCCCCTAAGGAGGATGGGTCTGTGCGATAGGGATGGTGCAATTATGTTAATATCCTATTTATGGAGAGGTAGCTTTTTTTTTTCCCTTCCTAATTATTGGTTTGGTCAAATTGGTATTGGGAAAACCATATTACAGTTCATAACAAAAAGCATACATAATGCTGTTGGTGTTTGTTTTTTGTTTTGTTTTGTTTTTTTTAACGGTTTCACACCTGAACTATAAGCATTCCAAGCTGTGCTGGAGAGCAAAGGAGAAAGAGTTGCTTGCAACAGAAGATTCTGTCCTCATTCAAATTTTTCCAGTAATTGAACACTTAAGTAACATAGTGTGGAAACAGGAAGAGGGGGCTGCGGGGTATAGAGAACCAGCTTGAAGGGTGGGTGGAGGGATTTAATCACTAAAAATATTTCTCAAGATTTCTTTTCTGTATAGCTTGTTTTATAACTTGGTAATTCTAATTATGTTTCTCTCTCCTCCCTTCCTCCCAGCTTATCTGCATCTTGAAACAAGGCTAAATGAGTTACATACACCAGACTCTACTTAAGTGGCCAGCACCTTTGTGGCTTCTCTTTGGTTTTTATTTCATCTGCCGAACATCATGGATCTGTTCCTAAAGTACACATACTCTTTTTCATTCTTCAGATGAGATTAAGATGCTGATGGCAAGGGCGAATCTTTTCAGTGCTCTGATTCTGTCATTAAAAGTCTTGGACTTGGACAAAAAAAAAAGAGATGGGAAGCAAGGGAGTATTTTTTTATTTTTATTTTGCATGAAGATTTTTTTTTTAAAGATCAGATGTTATTCAAGTGATCTGGCACAAAGAATAACAAGTTGTTGAAAGTCACTATGAATTTAGGGGATGAAAAATACTCGGGTGGATGACTTTTTTTATACTAGTTTTAAAAAATCTATTATAAAATAATCTGAGATAATTGATTCAGTGCGAGAAGGTGGGAGTTAAATATATTCCAGACACATTCTTCTTACAGAATGCCTTTTAAGATCAGAATACGTATATTCAGGGCCCACTATAGAAATGCTACTAGAGAAATAAGGCTGAACCATGGATGCTTTGTTTAAGCTATGGAAGAAAAGGAAGCAGATTCTAACCTGTATTTATTTCTTTTTGACTTCTTTGGAATATACACATTTGAAAGCCTTATGCCTTAAAAATATAATATCTGTTGCCTCTATGCAATAGACATATATTATTTCCAAAATAATTGAAAGTGTATTTTGACAATATTAAAACTACTTGTTATATCTTCCAAATCTACTGAAATAAAATCACTACAAAACCCATTCTGATTAACTGAAGAAGAATTCGACTGGATCTTATCGGACTTTTCCTAGTCCCTGAGACCCTAACTTGTGAGGTTTTTTAGTAACAATCACAAGTCAGGCTCTTGGGACCTAGGCGGAGAGGAACCAGCAGCTTTGGACTTTATTGATTAATTTTATCTGCATTGCTTTTTGTTTTGTTTTTTTGGCCAAAGAGGAAGTTTTATGAAAAGGATGAACATTTTGACTTACAAAGAAAACAGCAGTATGCATAGATATGATAGCATTGTGCTGCATAGATATATATTTTTATTTATTGTACTAAAATGAGTGGAATATTTAGCAGTCTGAATTAGAAATTTATGCTATTTCATAGTTTGTATTTTAATAGTGCTAAGAATAACCAGTATTTTTAATTTATTTGTTAATATACAGCTTTATTTATAGGTTTTTTTCCTCAGCTTCCTATGTTCTACTTTTTTTTCCCAACTACTGCTGTGAAAAATCCTAAATTTGAAGGCTGAAACAAAGAGTTGTTTACACAATGAAAATGTTCCAAGAATATTTTTGATTACAGTTGATCTTTTTTCTTCTTTTATTGTCCTTATCCTGCAGAGTGATTCAGTATATCGTTATACTTCCTTCCAACCATAATTACACAGTATACAGGGTATTTATATTAAAGATATCTGATGTAGAATTTGAAAAATTGGAAGAGGCCATTTAGGCCTTAGAAGTCGACCTCGTGGCATACAAAAATCTAAATGTATTATGCAATATTCATCCTCTGCTTGGACAAGTCCAGTGCAGAGAGCCAATCACAGGTCGGGCAATTGCTTCCACTACTCTAACTGTTAGGACATGTTTAGCAGAAATCTGCCTCCCTGGAACATATATTATTTTGTGTTCTGCCTTCTGGTATGATACAACAAGTCTTGGCATCATCTGTGATACCCTCAAAGGTACTTGTTTTATGATTCTTAGAGGAAGAACTTATCAAATATCACTCTGTTATGTTCAGCACATTTTTCTAACCTATTAAGATTGTTTTGAATTTTGTTTTTGTCTTCTAGGATATTAGCTATTACATCTAATTTTGTGCCAATTGCAAAATTTGATTTAAAAATCTCTTATGTCTTACTTAATTAAGTAATTAATTTAAAAAGGGGTGTAGTGTGAACCTTGTGGCACCTCAGTTGATACCTCTCTCCTGTTTGATGAGGAGCTATTAATGAGTAATCTTTGGCTATGATTTTTCAGCCAGCTATGAATCTACTGATTCATAATGCAGCTAATTTAACCCAAACTAAAGTATTCAATTAAATTGTTCTAGATCTATATAGAAGACAAAACCATTTTATCACAAGATATGACTAGTTTTCATATTTATACTGAACTTAATATCAGGTAATATTTTTCGAATGGATGCCAATTTTAGCATTCAGCAAAATAAACAGAAGTGTAAGAATTATTTGTCACTTTTATCCTCATGTCTTTATCACAATCCACTTGATTTCACAAACAGTTTTCATAATTTTATTTAAGCAATTTGAAGTTGCCCTGTAAATGCTTTTGCTTAAACATTGTTTCATTTCTGGAGAGAGAGGGACTACAAGATGAACATAATTGACTATAGCTAACGGAAACTTCCTACTGTGAAAATGAATTATCCTAACAATATGGTCTATTATAAGCCAAACAGAACAACTATGTGAACAGTAAAACAATGTAAAAAAACATTTAGCACTTCAGCATAAGTGACTATAAGAGTGGCAAAGGAGACTAATGAGAAAAATCACACAATGTGACTTTCATTCTTGGGTCCAAAGTTGAGACACAAATACAAAAGACCAGAGTTTACATCATGACAATGCAATTCACACAGTGCAATTATTGCAACCTTGCAATTTGTACTGGATGCTTATACTGTTAGCTTCATATTACATAACTGATCTTTCACTACTTCCTACATAATCCTTTCAATTGGAAATGTCAGGGACTAATCTAAGATTCTATGAAGTGTTCCTGAGCTATAAGTAGAACTTTATTTCATTTTGAAAGTTAGATTAGTATAGATTTATAATAGTATCTGTTTCAATAACATGGTTTCCAGTATCAGGGCCTGCAGAATTACTGTCACATGGTAATTTTCTCAAGCATCTAACAAAACAGAGCCACCTTATTCTGTATTAGCTTCAACCCCATGTAGAATGTACTGCAGTAGTCCAGATGCATAGCAGTGGGGGAGTGAATCACCATAGCACTCTCTGTCCAAGTAGAAACACAACTAGCAAACTAGGCAGAATGGGACAAAGGCTATCTTGGCCATGAATTCCATCTGCCTGTTCAGTAGTAGAGCACTGATTTGTGGACCTGCTCGCTCAGGCAATGTTCTCTGAAGCCATTAGCCACAAAAGACAAAGAACAGCTTCATCTTGGTGGCATCCAACTTTAGCCTGTTTTCTGCTTTCTAGATTAACAGTTTTCAGACACCAAAACAAGATTTTTCCCAGCATCTCCATCACACTGGATGACAATGTATGATTGCATATCACTCATACACTCATAATACTGCATTACAAATACTTTACATAAATAAACTATCCAAAGCACTTTGTGTAAATGCTAAACAAAAGGAAAGGAAAGACCAATCCCTTTGGCATCCCATGCAAGATTGACTTGGACAATCTCTCAATTTCACCACCACCTTGATGTACTGTTAGTGGCCAGCAACAATATCCTATGCAAAACAATCACAACATGCCAGTGGGATTTGTTCCTGTACTCATCTCTCTAAAAGGAAATTCACCTAAACGTTGTCACCAACCAAAAGGCTGTGAAATCTGTAAATTAATAATTCACCTCTTTTATTAACTGCGTAGGCTGACTATGTATCCATTTTCAATTAGTCACCTGTAGTCCTCATCCAGTGATGATCCAGGAACTGCTTCTATCACCACAAAACTTGCAGAACCTCAGAAGATCCAGGAGCATCTCAAATTCATTGCACAGGGACAAGTCATTTGGGAGCAAACTCATTGAAAGTTCAATTTACCTCCTAATATCAGAGACTAACCAGGTAATTTACAGAAATGGCCTGGTCAATCTCTGATTCCATGAAGCATCTCTTCTGGGCCTCCTGTTATACCCTCAGGCCTGAGGAAGTATTAGGTGGCAGTCAATTCCAGTTTGACCAAACCTAGGACCCAGCAGCCAGAAGGTCAGATTTATGAAAGGGTGATATCACACTTTTCACTTTTTTTTGTATGCATTGGTTTTGGTAATAAATGCCAAGTATGTCATTTACCTATGAGCTTGGTATTATTAGATATGGTTTTGGAATTTACAATATAAGTAGTTTGAGCCCATGAACCCATTATTCCCTTTTATTTTGAAATCTCTTATGTAAATGAAATTGTCACAAGTGCAAAATGAGTGAGCCCTTGATATCCAAAAATGTTATAACTGAACTCAGTGGAAACATTTTCTTTTGCATGCCTACTATTTGACTCTGGTATCGTCACAATTTCCCCAAAGTACATAGAAATAGGACAATGAATATGATTACATCCATGCTCTCTGGCAACCTCCATCATTCTGGATCACTCCAAATATGGTCTCTCTGGAAACCGAATCCAGGGTTCAGCTGGACAAAATTTCTTTAAATTTGACTGCTTCTAATGGTTATTAAATAGGAAACAGCAGCACTGATGTTTTAGCAAGAAGATTTATCAAGGTCAATATAGAAATACTTCAGTTTATACATTACTTTTATTAAAAATGTAAAATAAGCTATCCTCCCCTCACACTTCCCTTTATAGTTTATTGATATATATTCCACAGGTGCAATTGTATTTTAGGGAGCAAAGTATTGAAGTGAGCTTTTACTTTTTTACAGCCATGTATAACACAAAATGGACATGATGAACACATGTTAAAGAAAATGTTATCGAATATTTATTCAGACAGAACAAATACTGAGAGTTGGCAAAATGAAACTTGCGTACAAAACAAAGTAAAATAAAAGATTCAGTACTTTATAGACCATTCATGGCAAATTAATATTTTTTCTAGATAAAGTCCAGCTATAGCTGGATAACTAATTATATAAGTTTATATTGATTATGTCCATTTCCATGCTAGTTTTTTTTATTACAATATAATCTTGCATCATACATTATATGTGCATATAAATCAGATCAGCTAGTATATCTTTTTTTTAGACAGTCACCTTTCACAACACCAAGAAAGCAGGAGAGAGAAAATAATGTGTAATGCATACAAAAAAAGTCATATTAACAATTCATTGAATTCCTACTTGGTAACAGATAGAGCCAGATGTACACATTAATGGCTGGCTGTTGCTGATTTGAGCTGTGTTCAATGTGGTGGAAATGAAAAATCATCTAGTTTCTGACATTGGCTTATTTGTACACTTTAAAAGAAATAGCATGGTTTTGCATGCATGTCTTTCTTTCTTCCCATATACCTTTATATCACTTCCTAATTAATTGTCATCCAAGAATGCTATTTCTTAACATGCATGTGTACAAAAGCTAAAAATAATTGTTCTTTTGTCTGCCACGTGGAAAGTAATTATACATTATCATGACAATGATCTGAATCAATTTCAAATGGTCATAGGAGGATAACATCTGTTTTCCAAATGTCATGTTAACTGTTAGTCAAAGCAATACTTTCTATTGGATATAGAGGATAAAATATACTTATGCTGTGGGCAAAAGAAGCATTTTTGCTAAAAGCTTCTTTTAACTTCCGTAGCATTAACAATTAGTACAGCTTTTCCAAATGTATGCCCTCCAGATGTGGTAAATTTCAATATCTATAATTCTCAGCCACTAATACTATAAATTCTGTTTTCACTGCAGTAAAACAGCAAGATCAGTAATGCTAATTTATATGTTACACTCATCTTCCTAATATTAGTGATAATCTACTCATTGTTGGTCAACACTTGGTCTATTTTCATTGTGAAAGTCTCCCACCCAGGAAAGCAAAAAAATATTGGAGTAACAGCAATACAAGTATTTTTTTCAGGAAGAATTTAGAAAGGATATTTAACATATGCATTTAATCATGTTATGTTAATGTTTAACATGAATTCTGAAACAGGATTTATTTAACCATAATAAGCACATAAATGTGGCTTTCAAATATAAAATATTAATAACAAAACTGTCCAAAATAATGAATACCACTATTTGTTTATTTATTTAAAATATTAAAACCATAATAAATGAAGCAACTTCTAGCCTCCCAAATAATAATTGTAGCTAAAACCATAGAAAATTAAAGTTTTCATGCTCTGGCATGTCTACAATTCAACTGATCATCAAATAAATGCAATAGTAAGTTTATAAGATGAAGCATAACTAATGTGGTTGTTTTAACTTAATATATAGAGGATAGAAATCATATAAAATTTGTTTTGTCACTATTTGGAACACCCATTACCGGAAATGTGCAAGCAAAGGCTGGCCATCCATTTGTCTGGGATAATATGAGAATTGTGTCTTAGATTGATGATATGTCAATCAAATGAAAGACAGAAAAAAGAGAAAAAAGAAAAATGAATCTAGTTTACATAAAAATTATTATCTACATCTGACCATACTTGTCTGTGCTTGAAAACTATCCCTGCTTGTATGACCTCAATTTATTAAATTAATCTGTATATTGTTTTGTATTCCTAACATGATCTTGTTTTTACCACACATGCTTTTTAAATAACCATGTCTCTCTTGCTTTAATTTCCTGTGATATATCAAAATTTTCTGTATACAAATGTGTGAAGAATCATGGTCTTATAACAATGCATTCTGCAAGTTTTGACATTTATTGCTATATGAGATCACATACTGTGATCACATACCTGTCTACTAATGTCTGCACATGTTACATTTTAAAATTTCTCCATTAATTTCTCCATCTTTAATACACTGATTTACTTACTTTCTTTGGGAGTTGTTTATTGTGCCTTTTATGTGTAATATGCCTTAGTTCATATTTAATTTCATTTTCTGTCTAATATATCTACTTACATTGATAGTAGAATTTAATAACTTACATAACTTTCTGTAGTAGGAAAAGTAGTTCTAGCTTTCAGCATTTAATGTGTGATTTATAGCATTAGAACAGCTTGCAATGCAGTTCTGAAATCAGTGAACAGCATTTAAACAACATTGAATTCCTTCATATTGTTTAATTACAACTGCCATCAATTTTCATAAACTGGCTTATTTTGTGTTCATTACTATTTTATCTCTCTTAGGAATGAACTTTATTACAGTGTCACCAGGAAGCTGCACTGATAAAACTTTACTGGAGTGAAGCATGAAGTCAACATGCACACAAAATTAATGATAAACTTAATGTTTTTCCTTACTCTGTTGAGTATTATTGCTTCCATTTCCATATGCTTTGAAAAATGATTCCTAAGAAAGAGAAAACTATTCTTTAGAATAATTTCAAATTCTTTAAAATAAGCTTGTCCCATAAAAAAAATTGCTAAAAATTATAAATCTGACTGATACTAGGTCATTCTACCACAATGAAATATTTTGACTAACAATAGTGCAGAGCAATCATTTAAACAAACACGAGAAGCATCACTTCCAAGATTAGGATCTGAAAATATATTGTTATTATTCTTATTTATTTGTTAATTTCCATAGTGCTAATCAAAACTCATTATGTCCCATGCATATTGGCTCTAGTTTTCCCTAATGGAAAATAATGTAGTTTGACCACATACATTTTCTTCCAGGGTGGAGGAGACAGTGTGGGGGGCAGTTCTTACCTAGGCAGATTTTGTTGGATTATACTTCAATCTGTTCCTGTTCCCCTCCTCCCTCACATGTAGCCCTTTCAACATCTTCAAAGAACTGAAAGAAAGTAGATTCTTTTATCAATGCAGAAAACAAACTGACTGCTCGACTTCCGTGCCAGGATTCACATAAGGCAGCAGGGTGGGAAGTATAACAAAGAAATCCTGAATGCACAAAACATATAAGAAAACCTATTAAAATTCACTGGTGAAGCTTAGAGTACACAATGAGAGCAAAGTCTGAAGTAGGATTTAGCAGGGCCAGAAAAGGAAATATACTTATTTAAGAAAAGCATTTCCTTTAAAAATTCAGTTCAATATTGTACTTTACATGACTACTATACCTTTACCAGAATGTTTTTCCTATAAAAACAATAATCAATTAAACATAGTCTAAAAAACGAAGTGCTCCCCAGTTACACAATTGCTACTTAATTTGTAACTTAATGGATTCTTCTTCAAATCACTGCTGTAAAAAAACAGTGTCTCATTCAAACTTTTTACAGAATTTGAAAATATTTTATGGATGGAAGTTTAAGGATTACTAGTCTATGGGGGGTGGGCTCATATGACCTGCTATGCTTTATAATGGAGATAGTGTTAGTGATGTTCCAACTTGAGGCTGTATAACCAGGTGTTCTTCTGGATTTTTTTGAGTCTGGGATGTAATATGTAGTTTTTCTATCTCAGGTTTTGAGAGTGGTTTCAACTTCACTATGTTGAAGTGTTGGATAATCAGCTGTTTTGATGTAGGTCTTCTGTTCTTCTGCTTCATTTTTTTGGTAAGATGGAAGAAGCTGGCAGGGATGGTAGACATTTAGGGGAAAAGTTTTAATTAGATAGTTTCAAGGGTTTCTCTGTTTCTTTTTCAAGATGTAGAAATATATTATTTCGTATCTAGGCATATAACAAAGGATCATTCAAGTCAAGATAAAATACTGATGGACCCTGTCCTTGAATGACTGGGTGGATTGGACATTAACATTTGAACTACTATAAGGGCATGTATTTCGCATATGCTAAATGAATAAACCGATGGGTAAGAAGCAGAAATAAGAAATAAAACAGTATTTTGCTTTTTGATTAATTTGGTTAATTGAATAATGAGTATGATAGATAAATGAAGGAAATAAAAGCAGAAAACCTGTAAGCTGTAATACTACAGACATAATGCTCTCAAGACTAACCGGAACTATACTAGACATCAGACAAATAGATTAAGAGGTAATGAA